TTTTTTTTTGGCTGTCTCTCTTCTTTTCCCCCATCCTTTTCTTCACCCTCCACTTTCTATTTCTCTCTTTCTCTAACGTCTTTTTCCCGGCCTCTCCCCGCCCGCCCTGCTCCTCACCAACCCGTCCTCTTCCACTCCGCAGATGTTTCGGTACCAAATGCGCGGGCTGCGCGCAGGGCATCTCCCCTAGCGACCTGGTGCGGAGAGCGCGGAGCAAAGTGTTTCACCTAAACTGCTTCACCTGCATGATGTGTAACAAGCAGCTGTCCACTGGCGAGGAGCTCTATATCATCGACGAGAACAAGTTTGTCTGCAAAGAGGATTACCTAAGCAATAGCAGTGTCGCCAAAGAGAACAGCCTCCACTCGGGTGAGGCCCCAATTCCCAACTTGCTAGGGGTGGGGTTCCTGGGGGAAGGAGGCCCACTAAGGCCGCTGCTCACCTGTCCCTTCCCTCTCCCCAGCCACCACGGGCAGCGACCCCAGTTTGTCTCCAGACTCCCAAGACCCGTCACAGGATGATGCCAAGGACTCGGAGAGCGCCAACGTATCCGACAAGGAAGGGGGCAGCAATGAGAATGATGACCAGAACCTGGGCGCCAAGCGGCGGGGGCCCCGCACCACCATCAAGGCGAAGCAGCTGGAAACTCTGAAGGCAGCCTTTGCTGCCACTCCCAAGCCCACGCGCCATATCCGGGAGCAGCTGGCTCAGGAGACTGGCCTCAACATGCGTGTCATCCAGGTCGGGGCCTGAGCATGCTACTCAGGTCCCCTTGAGACCTACAGGCTCCTCTACACTGGCATGCAGGCCTAGCTGGGGAAACCCAGCCTCGAGCAGGGTTGCAGGTTCAGGGAGGCTGGAGGGGGAGGAGTGGAGAGGCCCAGACACACCCCTACCCTGGCGACCTGTGAGGTGTGGCCTGTGGCGTAGATAGAGCATCTGGAAATCCCTAGGCCTGCTCCACTTCCCGATCCAAAGCTGGTGGTGGTAGTGGCAGAGTGGGGGGGACGGTGAGCTCAGCAAGTGTCCAGGGGAGGGGACATTGTTGGACACTGCAAGGGGAGTTGGGACCCTTTCTTCTGCAGAGATGAGGAACGCAGAGTGCTCTGAGCATGCCTGAGTGAGTCAGTTCCAGTGGCTCCTCCACAACACTGATCTCCCTCTGTGTCCCCCTCCTCTGTTTTCTGGGTCTCTTGCCACGGTTAGACAAGCCCCAGAGCTTCTCCCGAGAGAGGTGGGGGGGGGGGAGTCCTGG